AGCTAATATAGGCATGTAATCATACTTCCAAAAATTTAGACAAAGAGGCCAAAATGGAATTCACTTACCACTGCGCCCCAAACAGCACCTTGCTTTGACACCCATCTGAGCGTGAAATTTCGATACCACCGCATGTAGCCATCGTGGTACCCCATTGGCCTTGTCTCCGGCATCCCTTGGACCACCCACTGATTTCTATTCTCCCATATGTTGATGTAGAATTCATGCTTCTTTTGCCAATCCTTTTTGGTGTGGCGTAGGTCAATGGCGTGGAGCTCCCTGAACCCTTGAGGTGAGGATGCTGGAATTGGTTGCTCCAATCGATATTGCCTCAAAGATCGATCGGGCAGGTGCCATTCCACCATGTGGAAGAAGATTAAGGGCACCTTGCACAACCATGTCTCTTCATCCTCGGGATGTCTAAGACGATGCAACTCAACCACTTCATTTGGATATGGATCCCATACCGCCTACAATCATTATAGTTCATGGAATTAGTACAAATTATATCCACTCCACCTAAAAAATTGAAAATGATAAATTTAAGTATTTTTACCTGGTTCCACCAAGGCTTATCGAATTCAGCACGATAAAACAGCAAAGAGTGTTCGGGCTGGTGGTCGTTTGTATTTGCTCCGATCCACCTAATTAAGCAAAAGTACGTATATAAGCAATTTTTATGGCATAGATGTTTACTTGTTAAGTATGATTGTATGGAAGCATCTAAATTGAACTAAAATTCCTTACTTGGCAATAATCTAAATTAGCTAAATAAGATTTGGTTAGAAAAATTCTAAATTTGCTAACTTGGAAGATATCTAAATTCACTAAAATACTATAATCGCAGACCTAAAATGTCACTTAATTTGCTTACTTGAAAGATATCTAAGTTCACTAAAATTCACTAAATTCGCTTACTTGGAATAGATCTAAATTCACTAAAATTCACTAAATTCGCTTACTTGGAATAGATCTAAATTCACTAAAATACTACCATTGCATATCTAAAATAAATTAAACTTAAATTAAACTTACTTGAAACCATATGGGGGATTTGCTACAAATCGTAGCTCATCATCTGGCAACCAGAATTCCCGAGGGTCTCGAGGTGCTAAAAACGGAAGATGCTCCCATGCCCAGAGTTAGAGTATGAACATCACACCACCAGCTTGTTTCGCTCCCAACCTCGAGCAAGTACACAACTCTCGGTAGATCCCAGCCAAGACGGCTGACCCCCAACTTTTTTTCCCGATCTCGTCCCAGTCACCGAGGAGCATATTTAACCACATGCCTTGTATCCACCGGTTTGACTTGTCGGGGAACAGAAACCCACCAACCAAACCAATTAGGTAGACACGTGCATACCGCTCCACCTGATCTTTAGGAGTGTCGGGGCCTATATTAACCTCCATTTGGATGTGGTCAACAAGCCACGGGACCGATACTTGCCCCGCATTCAGTGGTGGATGCCCAACCCCGTCGACGGGCGTGGTGGTCGGCATGTTGAACCCCAAACGCTCTAGAATCAACGGCCCCCAACCATCTTCCGGTTTTTTCGAGCTGTCGATGATGGCATCACCGGTGATTGGGAGCCCGGTGAGGATGGCAACATCTTTGAGGGTGATCGTCATTTCACCCTCGGGAAAGTGGAAGGTATGCAGCTCGGGGCGCCATCGCTCTGCCATTGCCGTCAGCAGATCGTTGTCAATATCAAGCCTCGTAAAGTGCCTCAGCATGTGCAATCCCGTCCTCTCTATATAGGGCTGCAGTCGATCATGCCAACGGGGCAATCGACATGTCCCTCGATGAGCGATGGGAATAAGTGATTCCTACAAAACAAAAAACACAATATTATCAGTCAATAGAAAGCAAAATAAAAACTTTAAAACTATTGAAATAAATTTAGTGTGTCTACCGGATTATTGTTCCAAATTGAACGGGAGCGATGTTGATCTTGCCCGGTTAAATACCTTCGATCCCTTGGGCCAGGATCGATATACAATCGAGGGTCGTATATCTCAGCACCCATCTATAAAAAAATATAAAATCAAATCAATTTAAATTTTAGCACCCATGTAAAAAAAATCACAAAAGAATAAAATTAATTTACGTACTCTCAAAGCCTCTTCGTCCATTTTTTGTCGAAAAGCTAGCGAGAGTATCGACAAAACAAAAACTCTAGTAATTCTTTCTGATGCGGAAGATCGGACTTAGCCGCAACCACAGAGCATACTTAGAACGAAACTAGAGGAAAGTAAAGGAGGGAGAAAGAAGTATAAGATTTTGGTGTAGTTTGGAATAGGGGGGGGGGGGGGGAGTGGTATTTATAGGGGAAAGGGGCGCTGGAAATCTCACCAGGAACCAATCACCGCGTCTGATGAAGGCAGTGAAGTCACCGCCTTCAATGAACGCGGTGAAGGCGTGGATAGCTGACGTGGCGCGGCGTGAGGCGTCGGATCGTGGAGAAAAACCACAATCCGCGCCTCACTGCATCTAACGGCAGCGGTGAAGGCGCGGGTGGCGCGGATCACTGACGTGGAAAGCGGGGCTATCACCGCTTTAGTCATCAGCGGTGAAGTGCCCGCGCGTCCACGTCAGCAATCCGCGCCACTTCACCGCTTTTGATTTCAACGGTGAAGATCTTCATCGCGTCAGAAATCGACGGTCAATTATTCCCCGTCATTAACTAAGGCGATGATGCCATCACTGTTGTTGTCCACAGCGATGATGCTATCACCGTTTTGGACAAAAACGGTGATAGCATCATCGCTTTAGACCAAAACAGTGATGCTATCACCGTTTTGGTCAAAAACGGTGATTGCCATCACTGTCTTGGTTTGCAGCGGTGATAACCAAACTACTGTATTTTGGGAAATATTTTCATAAGTACTGTATTTTGGGATTTTTTTTAATAATTAGAGTATTTTGGGATTTTTTCCGAGATTTGTTTGCAATAAGCAGGAATTGAAATGTTTGGAATTATGATTTTGGTTGCTTTTGAATCTTGAAAATTTCCCCCTTAGCCAAAGTACAAAACTATGTAGTTATATTAGTAGGTGGTTATCGATTTCTTACCGATTAACCACTAACTGATTAGTCGATTAGCGACTAACTACTAAACAAAATATAAATAACCGAAACCGAACCAAATATAGCAGTTAATTATTCAGAAACACAAGAAAAGAGCCTCCTTCGTCATATCAGCATCAGAAGCATATGACGACCACCAAGCCGTCCGTATTGCCTGATCATGCTCCCCCTCCGACTGAGATTGTCAATTTGGTGTAAATCGATCAAAATCTTTCGCGTTAGGATATCATAACACCTCTATCCATCCTCGACCACACGCAAAGCTCTTTCCTCTCTCCCTCTGTTTTTTCCTCCGACCACTCTCTAGAGTCTTCTCTTCCGAGCTAAAGTGGGGCTGCTGCCGGCGTCTTTCCGGCGACTGGCGGCGTCCCTTCCCCTTTATTTTTCTATGCTTGTTCTACGCTTTTCCGTCTTTCTATCTTGCGTTGATCTATTTTCCCTTTGTGGTTTGTCTGTTCCCATCTCTGATGGATGTCCTTTCCTCCTTTGTGAGTTGAGTCTTTTGTCCTCTGGTTTGGTATTCCCAGATCTAGAGATGTTCTCACTGTCTAAGAAACGAAGGAGGCCATATCTTTCATGGATCCGACTTGTTTTCTCCTCTCCCCTCCCTCGTCTACCTCCTTGTTTCGTTTTGCTGATCTTGACGATTCGGAGATGTTGCCGTTGGCGTCGGACGCGCTTGGGAGAGCTTGAAAGCAGAAGTATTTTAACTCTCTGCCTCCGTCCCCGATCGTGCGCTTGTTTGTTTGTTTCCCTTGGTCTGGTCGGCGGGAAGCTTCTGACGATTGGCTCGGGGTGGGATGGTTGGATGCGTCTTCATCTTACCTTCCGGGGTCGGCAGGATCCTTTTTCGGTGTTTGATCGCGGTGACGGCTTCTGGTGGGAGGCGAAGCTATGTCGTGGTCAAGCGTGTTGGTGGATCTCGGTCGCGGCGATGGAAGAGAGCAGAGGGGCTCTGACGGCTAGGGTTGGGAAGGACTCTTGCATGTTTCGGCCATGGGCCTGGGCCCTATTGGGTTTTAGGCCTGGTTTGTTGTTTTTTGGCCTTTTTGTTTGAGTTCCATTTTCATTTTGGTGCCATGTAGCTTGTACTTTTCCGTTTGGGCTTAGCCTATTCGTTTTCTTAATGAATCCTCTTAAAAAAAAGGATATCATAACACATAACACCATTACAAAACATGTTTATGCAAATTTCAAATCTTGTATATTAATTTTTGGACGTAATAAATACGAAATAACAAAAGATTTTAGTTTTGAAACTTCTACGATTCATTCAAATTATGATCATGAAACGATTCTCAATTATAGTGGTAAGTGGCGGAGGCAGGATTTGAAACTACCCCTGTCCTCTTTAATTTTTAATAAATATAATAAAATTAATTACATTCAAATAATTAATTCATAGATAAAACATAAATCGACTAATACAATCATTTATTCCATATAAACCACAACAGAATTTTATGTTGTTAAAGAAATGCAAAAAACTTCGTTGTTTACACTCTTAAGTAAGTCTCTATCAATGTATTCCACTAAAGAATCATTAGCAAACTAGTCATCAATTTGACTTGGAAACTTGTTATTAATAATATAACTCAAAACTGAAAATGTTTTTTTTCTTCTACACTTGCAGTTTCAATTTGTAGAATAAAAACTAGTGGAATTGCCACTGTCTCTGGATAATTTCAGGGTTGTTGGAAAAAAAAAAACTGAATATGCATAAGTAGAAAAGAGATTGGATTATGCATTTATTTCAATTGGAATTTTGTTTATAGTATAATAATTTAATTTTATGTCAATTGATGAACAAGTAATGAGTTGTGCTGTAGTGCTAAAATACTCTCATACCACATATACGTGTGGTATTCCATCGTCAATATAAATATTTATGAGGTATTTTTCACTCTGAAATTTACCCTTGTCCTGTGACAAGGCCCAAAGGGCCTGCCTCCGCCTATGATAGTGGTGGATCTAGGGAGAGGCCTTCGCGGAACATGGCTCATTCGTCCTCTGGATCCAGAGCTAGTACAACACTTATAGTTCTTTTTTATTTTATTTTAGGTATTCGGGACAATGCTGGTCGGCTCACGCCCTCTCAGCCTCTTTTGAAATGCGATCCAATACTCTACTATGTCCTGGATCTGCAACTGCTCAACCATAAAGGAAAACGACGATATACATCAAACCATGTGAAATATAAACAATATCATTTAAACTATTGACGACAATTTGAACCCAGCTTTGCGGGGTATTATCAGACTTGACTCGCACTGGGGCTGGTAATACCCGAATCGGCGTGAGGCTGGATATGAGTACTACTTCCGACCTGTCTTGCCCAGTCCCGCCCTAGTCTTAACCCACATTTCGTTGATTTGTCTCAATATTTCTTCTATTTTTACTTATCCTAACCCACATTTTCACCCGTGATACTTTAGATATGTGTAAGACTTTATCGTTTAACTAGTTTGACTCTATTAGTCTACCTATTATATCTATTTTCACTTATGAACTAATTTCCTTTTATTTTATCACTAAACAAAAATATTTTATTCAAATAATATATAAGAAAAAATCGACATGCCCAACCCATACCTACACGGATATAACCCGACCTAACACATCAAACCGAAATGAGAATTGAAATACTCACCTGTCTCATTGCCATCCCTGCTCTAAACAACTCACAAAATAATTAATAGGGATCACTATATCACTAGTAAAATTTACAAGACGAAATGGAAAATGAATCGAATTGAACCATCAGAATTGTCATCCCTCCCTACTTCCCCCTACCTTCTCCTCGGTCCCACTCTCTCCCTCTCCCCGGCCCCACCCAGCAAATCCTTCTGTCCTCCATTACCCGCAAATCAATGCTCTTTTCTCCTTTCTCCTTCACCACCCCCAAATCTCAAAATTTCAAAAATTTCACCTCTCTGTATATAAACACTCTCCACTTCCCCCTTCCAAACCTCACTTTATTCAACACTCTCCTCCTCCACCACCACCACCACCGGCCCCAATCCCTCTTCCACAGAACCACCGCAATGGCCCCGGCCGCCCCTCTCATTCCGGCGACCCTCCTCGCCCTCTCCCTCCTCGCCATCCTCTCCCTCTCCACCGCCTACCGCCCCTGGCCCAGCACCCACCCAAACGCCACCGACCTCGCCCTCGCCGGCTCCAAGAAATTCGAAGGCTCGTCGGACTTCGTCCACCTCCGCTACCACATGGGCCCGGTACTCACCAACAACATCACCGTCCACATCATCTGGTACGGCACCTGGCAGAAGCCCCAGAAGAAAATCATCCGCGAGTTCATCTCCTCCATCTCCGCCCCCTCCGACCCCACGCGCCGCCGCTCCACCGTCGCCGGCTGGTGGAAGACCGTACAGCTCTACACCGACCAGACCGGCTCCAACATCTCCCGCTCCGTCTCCCTGGGGCAGGAAAAAAACGACCGGTTCTACTCCCACGGCAAATCCCTCACCAGGCTCTCGATCCAGTCCGTAATCAAGAGCGCCGTCACGGCGAAATCCCAGCCGCTGCCGATCAACCCTAAAAGCGGGCTCTACCTCTTGCTCACCTCCGATGACGTGTACGTCCAGGATTTCTGCGGGCAGGTGTGTGGGTTCCACTACTTCACTTTCCCCTCGATCGTGGGGTACACGCTCCCGTACGCGTGGGTGGGGAACAGCGCCAAGCTCTGCCCCGGGGTTTGCGCGTATCCGTTCGCCGTCCCCGCCTACATGCCGCAGCTGAAGCCGGCGAAGTCGCCCAACGGCGACGCCGGCGTCGACGGGATGGTGAGCGTGATCGCGCACGAGATCGCCGAGCTGGCGAGCAATCCGCTCGCCAACGCTTGGTACGCCGGGCAGGACCCCAGTTTTCCGGTGGAGATTGCGGACCTGTGCGAGGGCATTTACGGGACCGGCGGCGGCGGGTCGTATACAGGGCAGATGTTGGAGGGACGGGATGGCGCCACGTATAACATGAACGGGATCCGACGGAGGTACTTGGTTCAGTGGGTGTGGAACCATGTGGTTAATTACTGTACTGGCCCTAATGCGCTCGATCAGTAGTCAGTTCAGTCCTCCACACTTATTTAGTAGCGCCACTTTCCACTTTCCACTTTCCTCTTTTGGTTTTTGTGTATTTTTTTTTCTGGAATTTGATGATTTTTCCTTTTTTTGGGGTTTACTCTCTCTTTCTGTTTATGGGTGTGTGATATTTTGCATATTTGGATTAAGTTAGTTAAGGGTTGTTAAAAAGATGTTTAATGATAGTTATAGTTATTTATCTAGTACACTTTTGTTCTCTATCCAATTGTGTTTATTCTCAATTGCCCGATAGCAACAATGCTAGAATTGCTCGATTGGACGAAGAAATCATGGGAATGTGGCAGAAAGATGGAACGAGAAGGAAATTGATTAAATTAGATAGATGATTTTAAAGCAGGAATGTCGAAATGAAGTTAGTTTTTTTGTTCTTTTTCGTTTTAACTTATTGAAATTGACATATCTCATCTTTGCTTAGAGAGGATTAGGACGTGCGAGAATGAGACTGTAGCTGAATGACGAATTTTAATTTATGCAATTAAATTTTGTCCATCAAAATGATGAAATTGTTGAACCCCTTGACCAAAGAGAATCATATCAAACTCTCACCACCACTGAATTCGCTCATCCGAACTCGCATACGAATATTCAATTTACCTGCCGAATCCGAAATGAGTTGGCGAATAGGGTGTTTGTATTCTCAAGGATAATGCTAATGGTGATAAAGAAAATCACTATTGTTGTTGTTATGTGGTTTGTTTTAATTGTTTTTTGGTGGCATTGAAAACGTACAAATAATAGTCTGTGGAAGCTGCTTAACTTCCATGGAGGAGCCGAGTCGAGGAGACATAAATGGATGAGTCGTTTTCCAACACAGGCTGGTGAAAGCCAATTTTAATTAAATTGTCTCTCAAGAGGGATTGGCATGATTTTTTTTTTTTTTACATTTAGCATATGACAAAATAAAAGCAACTCACGAGACAAAAGCCGAATGGGTGCCACTGCCACCTCTCGAGGCTCTCCCAAGTAGTTGAGCCAAGCTAGTACAATTCTGAGTTTCGTATTCGTCACTAAAGTTTGAAATACTAGCGGAATATGTATTTCGCCTAAATTGTTTTGATCGGTTTGTCAACTCACCAAATTAGTGAGAGAGAAAACAAAATTCATAAACCTTGGATTTTGAATGATCGATATCGAAACATGGTCAATTTAATGAGTTTGGCGGGAAATTTGATACGTGTTAAAATGGATTCGTTGATAATAACTAGTTAGCTTGACGAATAACATGTATGAAGCGGCAATATCCCAGTCTATTCTTAAATTTTCGACCAAACCCTACTATTTCTACCACTAGGATTATTCCTAACTGCTCTACAAATAGCTACTGAAATTACCCTTTTAACTACTTGGAATATAGAGTAATCACAACAAGGCATGATTAAATAACACAATACAAATCACTCCCAATCTAGTTCCTCAACATAGATCCATACTATTGCTTTTCGTTAAACAAAAAAAAAAAAAAAAACTTCAAACCAGATCATTTGACGGGGAACTCGAGTACTCGACTCGAATGAACAACGTGACTGTTACATAAATTAGACCAACCTATGGTAACACCTGCGTTAAAAATCAAATCATACTGACCAATCTGTTAGTGACATCAAAGTTAGGGATGATAACCAGGTTTTCCATATATACCATCCCCGTACCACGGTATTAAAATCGTAGCCAAATATACTCAGCGATTTAATATGTCATACCAAAACCATCCACTATGCGGGTCAGGGAAAACCCATCCACATCATCTCCCAACAATCATGTACAAAGTTTTTTTTTATTATATAAACTAATTTTTTTTTCTTCGAATGTCAATGTAAAATGAAGTTTTTTCACATTATTTGTAACATTGAGAGAAAATGAACAAGGTTTGAGGTTTAAGAGATAATAATTATAATGGTTTAAAGATATGGATGACAAAGTGTTAAAACGGAATGAGTCTAGAACATAGTTGTAACACATATTCGATTGGGTTCGGTGCGGATACTTAAAAATACCAAAACCGAACCAAACCCATCACCCTATTTGTCGTGTTTTGTAAAAAAACTCACCGTAAAATAATATAAGCTGAATTTTTCCTGACAAAATCGAATTAAATTCGATTGGACACCCTCGATAATAAGTTATTTTACCATCACTAATCAAAAGTCGAGTGGCCAACCATGTAAGATGGAAAATCATGGAGTGTCACACCATTACACCAAACAAAACAATGGCCTTTTACTGGGATTTGAGCCCCCAATGCCATCATCCTACTGCTGCAAATGCTCCTCCTTTTCTTCACAGTTATTAAGCATGGGGAGAAAGAAGGGGAAAAAACTCTGCTTTTGCCCTTCTCCCTCTTCTCCCACTTTTCCCCCTGTTGGGCAATGGATTGCAGACCTCTGTCGTTTGCCTACTGAGTGGTGCGTAAGGAAAAATGGCGACACTTGCCGCAAACAACCATGAGCAAAATTCTCCCTTCCAACACGACTTTCCTCCATAACGTATTCGTGTCGAGTTGTTTATAAGCTCATAGTATAAGCTTTTCTGCTTTCAGTTAAAGGTACCCGAACAGAATAACAGGTCACGGGTGTTTGTTTTGGGCAAACAAGAAATCGTCATTGCAATTTAGACTCAAACGCCGACCATATTAAGTATATGCATATATGCTGCATTTTCTATTCTAACCGTTACTATCTATAGGGATCTATATGACTCAAATGTGAAATGGAGAAAGGTGATGCGAAAGTCGTGATTGATAAGCTTAGTGTGGATGTACGACGGGGATGGTTTTGCCGGTACGAGCAGTGGCGGATCCAGAATTTTTTTGTAGGGGTGTCCTCTTTCAAAAATTAAATTAAATTAATAATTAAAAAATACATAAATAATAAAATATCCAATTAGTACAAATGTTGACAAAAAGCCACGATGTGTTTTCAAATTTAAAAAAAAAACATAAGATAGATTTGGTGTCTACACTGCTCAACAAATCGGTATATCCTACTGAATCGCATATTCAATTTCTAACCTTGTTCATGATGTAATTCAAAGTTGAAAAGACTGTTTCAACACTTGTAGTGTAACCATAAAATCAATTCAAATTAGGGGCACCCCTGTGGATAAGAAGTCGTGTTTTTACCATTACATAGTATTTAAAATCGAACAATAAATGAGTTATAACCTAATGGAGAAGATGTTTAATAATAGGAGTGTCCTATATTTGAATATCACAGAGTACCACTTATATATTTTTTTAATCATATGCAAACTACTATCGAGGGTAAGATAATCGTTTATTAAAATTTTAGGGGTGTCCCAAATTACCAGTTATATTTTGTTTATCCATACGAAACTACTACCAGAGGTTGGATAATCGTGTTCCCAAAATTTAGGGGTGTCCCGAGACACCCCTAAAGCATCATGTATCCGCCATTGGGTACGAGAATCGAATGCTTTGCATACATATCATTAAGGTAATGGTGTTTAAATCAATGAATAGTTTGGTTGATAGTCTAGTCTAGTCCATAGGGGGTTATGCCTATGATCTAGCAATAGGTGCACACACTATTGTTTGTCCTTCCGACTCGGCCGTTGCGGATTGGTTACCGTATCACGTTGTCGGTGGTTTTGTAAATTGTTCTATTAATGAATAGGAGTTAGTGAAGCATTACACCTGTTTCACATTTAAAAAAAAGAAGGTTATGGTGTTTAATTTGTTAACGGCGATAAAATAGGATTGAGCTCGTCTTTCAGCTGAAAATGACCATTGATTTTTGTTCGCATAACTTGATTATTATTGGCAGGATTTTGAGGTATATGATGCTATACTCAAATTTCTAATAGCTAAATCGTAAACTTTAATTCTCTAAACCCTAAACTATAAAATCAAATTATCGAAAAACAGTTATTGAATTATTGAATTACTAAAAACCCTGTATACTCCAGAAGTATGCTAGCCTTCCTCTCACATACATGTATACACAAACACAAAAGCAGAAGTTGCAAAGTTTGGGCTAATTAGCAAGTAGTAGTCTATAGACAGATTAGAAATCCATGCTTGTCATAGACGAAACGAATTTTATTCTTCCAAAGACAAAAATGCGGTGCAAATGTAAACTTGTTGACTATTTGAGCATAACATCCAAAATGTGATTATGTTAATGCAAAAAGGCGCCGCCTAACCACAAAGATGAATTAACCTACTTAGATTAATCATGGGAATCCGGTAATCAGAGGGTGCAATGCAAATGGCAGAGTAGCGCCAAAAAGAATCAGACACACCGGCCGCTCTGCTCCACAATTTCAAAGAAAGCCACCACCATAGCCATATAATAGGAAGGAAGCGTGGAATTTGGACCAAAGAAAACGTATAGTAATTAACCAAGTGGGGATATATAAAGCTCCTTAATTTATACAAAAAGACAGTTGCAAAACCCTAGACCAAGATTCTGTCTTCATGATGTACCTTTTTTTTATGGAGTGGATGAGAGAATGTGTAGTTTTATACTCGTATGGCCTCGAAGATTGGCATTGCACACTTATACAGATGCAGGAACATTCATCAAACCAAAGTTCTTTTAACATGGGTTTTGGTCAGCATTACAGCATACTGACAGGAGTTGTATGTACGAGTTGATATCGTCGTATCGGTATCAGCCCCGTTTACAGACGATCTAAGCCACTCAATGAAAGCGAGTGACATTGCCTCGAAGTCGTTACACGACCTCGATTCAGAGGTTGCGATCGATGGTGTCAGACTAGTACTTACGAGCCTCGTTGGTACGTTGGTCACCGAATTTGACTTATTAGTCATTTTGTTTATCCCTAATTACTTGACTCTTGAAGAAGAAGGAGAAGAAGAAGAAGAAGAAAGGAAAAAAGGGGGCACCAGTTTAAAATTGATTCCCAAAGGAAAGTTGTTCATGAAAGCCAACTTGGGAACCAGCTGGTTCACAATTTCATTTGCTGCTATGAAAGCTTCTTGTGGGCTCAGGACAAATGGTATAGAAATGGGGAGATGCTGTTAAAAGCATACTGGCTTTTTGACTCCATTTTCAGCTGGGAAGAAGAGAGTTGGTGGTGGAAGGAAAAGAGAGAGAGAGTATTGGTGAAGCACAAAACAGCTGTATTAAAATATTCTGAAACATTTTGATTGCTGCTGAGTAATGGCCAACAGCAACAAAGACATATCCTAATCAAAGTAATTAAAGTATGTAATGGCTATTAACTGGCCTAGTGGAACCCTGAGCCAACTTTTCAAGTTATTTCCTAGTTTTAGCAATTCAGGTTCTGAATCGGAGCGAATGCACCCTCGAACCAGGCCTGTGTTTATACCGATTCGATCTGCATATGAACCGAGCTACACCATTGCCAACCTCCCTAATTGGAGCAGCTGATCAAGTTGCTGTGGTACCATGTAAAGAACAAAAACAGATAGAGATAACATTCAGTAGTAGCCAGAGGGCACCAACGGAAAGTGGCAGCCGAGCCGAGACCACAATCAAATGACTGCCATGAAAGAAACAAAAGAAGATCAGGAGGGAACAAAGAAAGCTGGATGGGAAAGAAGGGGAAGTAGCATTCCCTGTTGAGAGAGAGAGCCTTTCTAAAAAGCAAGATGCCAAAGGGACTGTCCTTATCATAAACAGAGTCCCATACATATCTTTTGATTTCAATGCGCTTGATATCAGAAGAGCTCTCAATGCAAAAAATCTAAAGTGTTAAAAGGGAAAGAGGGCACACAGCAAAAGTTGGTGAAAAATTGATTAGCATTGGGGATTTGGGGTAAAACAAAAATGGGTTTGGAGGAAATCATGATTCTTTAGATTGGGATTTGTGAGGGGGACCTCACAAAGGAATGAAATGGCACTTGTCATCCTATTCTTTTTACACAAAATTTTGCTGAGAATGACTGAGAGAAATGGGTGCTAACATAACATCAAGATGCATAACCAGCCATTCCAACAGCAAATAAAGAAACGATTCTGTGGTCCTCTGAAGATGACACTTGACAGATCTTATAAAGAGATGCTAAAGATGGTAGCTTGAGATGATCGGTGGTTGAACCAGTCAGTCTATGAGGAGCAATCTTTAATGATAGAAGGTGAACTATGTAATGGTTAAAGATTCAGTGCAAGAATTCAAAAACTTCCTTCTCAACAGATCCTCAGAGCTCATAACTCAACTGATAATAAGGGTGCCAGATTCTTAGTTTCCAACTATTAATTATATTGCCTTAAAGGTATCCAATACTAGCAACTTACTTAAAGCAGGTTGCTAGAACTAACAGCACTAGGAATCAGTCCGAGGCTAGCATACAGAGCAAAATGTTATAAATACTGCCAGCTAGATCTGTTGCCAAGATGATATACATTGATAGCCTATATGAAACACCAAGCAGGCAAGAAGAACATTAATGACTGTTTTTCTCTCGAAAAAACTTCATGTCTGAGCCCTTTTAGTGTCAAAATTTCAAGAATGAGCACTTCCTTGGCATTTTGCCTTCAATACCTAGCAATCCTGTTGCTTTGCACATCACAACAAGATAGTGAATGGACTTGTACCTTGGCTGCAAAAGTGAGTGATTTGAGAAGAGTACTGCTATCGAGAGATAAGATTTGCCTTTCATTTACAGCTTCTACTTAGTGGACATATATCATACCTGTTAGTGTTTCAGGTACAATCACTGCAACTACAGTCAACAAAAATAAATTCCTTGAAACTTGAAGAATCATATCTACTGCAGATATGGCATATCTGCTCCATGTTCCCAATCAAAGAAGACAAGGGAAGTATAAAGAGTGGCAGTACAATAAGTTGTCTCAAAGTCAGATGGATCCACTTGAAAAAAGTGCCACTCAACTAATCATATACCTAGGTTTTGCTGGTGAGATAATAATGTTGCCACCACATTCAATCTTCAAGACTTCAACAGCTAGCAATGTCTATATTCCCATTACGGTATCTGTTCAACAAAACCAGGCTTAAGCTTTCAATATCCTAACTTCTACAAACTGCATGCTGAATCTTAAACATGATCATCAGAAGAACATCCTTACACGTGTGAAAGGCACAAATGACTCGTCGACGACCCTTTTGCTTCTCAAATATCCTACACAAGCTCACCTAGCATATGCCAATGACAAAGTACCCTTTGGAACTAAATAGAAAATTTCAGGTGTTATTGGTAGGAAGAACTATATACAGTGGCACTTGGAAAAAAGACAATGATCAGATTCCAGCTTAACATTCTTGCAGCTTCACACGTCCGAAAGCAATGATCGAAATGCATAAACACTGGCACCATTGCAAGGACATCAAGATCCACTGCCAACACACGCAATAGGATTCTTTCAAGGTTCTATGATCATACACCTACCCCAAAACTACAACCTACACATCACATACAGTCAGGTGTCTGCTCCTCCCTTGATATGCCTAATTGCCCCGCCGAGAAGCCTTGTTCCGAATTTCCTCGCTTGTACACCATTACCCAATTAATTACAGCTACGAGAAAAAACAATCTAACTATGAAAATTCCAGGGATTAATCCTTGTCAACGAGAATTGCTTCTCACAAACTGTGGAACCATAGGCCAGCCTGGCCTGGCATTTCTCTGCCTATTATCACTTTTCGTCCTTCAGATTCTCATTCTGCAGATACTTCAGGACTCCATATGCAACAGTCGCAGCAACAAAGAACCCAACTGTTGGTGTGAAAGTTGGATACAGATACTTCACAAAGAACCTATCCCATTCTTCTGGCAGGAACCCTGTCAACCGAAACTAGCTACATTCAAATCTGGGACCAAATTGACACATCTAAAAACATCCACGAAGTGAAATTCGAACTTGGGAGAAGAAGAAATGGAACAGTCTAGCCCTTTTACCTGATACAGCCAGCAAAACGCCCTGAACAAGAATGACTCCGCCGAGCCCTAACCAGGTGAGCACAAAAGCACTCTCGTTGGTCCCCTGCACTTTCGCTTTAGCTTCATACCGCCGATGAACTCCGGCTTCTCGACCGACGATCGCCTGATTATAGCCGCTCTCTCTCTTTTCCCCTTTGTCTTCTTCTTACTGCTCGCACCACTAGAAGCCGGAGGAGACGGCGACCCGAAACCTAGCCTAGGGGTGACGGCAGTGGCGGAGGAGTTCTTCGTCGGAGAAGGGTCGTTACCGGGTTCTGCTTCGGTCGAGGAGGGATTCTGCGATCTGATCGAGAAGTTGAGCTTCGCCGGGGAGATGTGGAAGTGCGTTTGGGGAAGATGACTATAAGGTTGGTCCAAGAGAGAAGAAGATGGGGAGTGGAATTGTAGCGCCATTTTCAGTTTAGTTCGGTACTGAAAAGGGTTTTCCCCAATCCCATTCTGAATGGGATTAGGTGCTAAATTAAAATTAGGTAAATGTTAATTTGGTAAAAAATTATAATAATTAACCCAAACCCATATATGCTCTGGGCAAAATCCGGGGTACGGGTAACCGAGGGCAAGGAAAATTACCAAAAACATCACGAAGCGTTTAACCTTTTTTTATTGGACTTCAACCTAACTGTACCCGGTTTAATTATATCGATTAAGATGTTAAACCCTATGGATACGACCCGCCGCCCTAACCAATTTCCAGTCCCTCATTCGTCTTGGAGGGGACGTCCCCTCTTAGATCGAAGTTCGAACATAATCCTTTTATCATCGTTTCTGAAATCTGAAATCCTTTTATTATTTGATCCACATTCGATTTAGCTCCCTATCCAATAACAAATCCCCAACATCATCATGTTTTGAACCCCAAATCTATGTATCCACGTTTGAAGAGAAGATCCCATTTCAATATAAAATCCCCACATAATCATCGTTTTGAACCACAAATCCTTGTATCCACAATCGACGTTTTGTTCTTCGCCATTTTATTTCCGACCGGAATCTAAAATCCCCACATAATCATCGTTTCCTTGTATCCACAATCGACGTTTTGTTCTTCGCCATTTTATTTCCGACCGGAATTTACACACCTATATCTTTCTAACACGATTACGGCGACCATGTCTATTATTGTGTTCATCGAACTTTTCATTTTGCTAACCCTAGGGTTCATGTCGCCAGTGCTTTGTCATCATGTGTTAGCGTTATTGGAACTCCTTACAACAAATTGAAGATGAAATAAGCAACACAGTCTTCGACCTAATTGAGGAAGAAGATGAAGAAGACAGAATTTGATTCGAATCGGATGGAGAGGTTGCCTTAACTTGTGTTTATGTATTAACGGTGCGTTTAGGACAAAGTCTAGTTGGGCTTTTAAATTCCCTTCAAAAGTGGGCTTGTGTATATGATCCGGATTGTGAAGAGGTTGGGCTTTTATTTACATCTGCTTCTGCTTCTAAATCCTGATCATGTCTTGCGTTCACGCAATTTAAACACAATTATGTGTTCCATCTTTTTTTTTGGGATTCGGTAAATGGTAGCGTGTCTCTTTAGACATTTATCGATACGAGGTAAAAAACAATCCGCCCAATTTAACTCTTTATTAATTGCCCCTATTCCACTCTCTCACTGTTTGCCCCTCTTGACATAACAAACCTCTTGTAGACTGATTAGAGGCTTGTGGTTGGATACTTAGTGAGGACATTTTTTAAATTTATGTTTTGAAACGAAAGTTAGAATTTCACTTTTGAAGTACCTGTGTACTTTACTTGGGCAAGTATTTTCAAAATGTAAAATTTTATCAGCGTATAGGTATGCGATTATTGTATAAGGTGTTTATGGTTAAGTTAATGTTTACTGACTGGTTAGTGTATTAGGTTGTTGATGGTTTAGAGTATATGGTATATGGGTAGGTTATAAGGTGTTGAATTGTTGATGGTCTAGAGCATATTGTATTGATTGGTTCGGCTGAGGGTAGGTGTTGTTTTATTTTTCTCGATTTTATATTTTCTTAACATCTTCTTATAAATGCTGATCATGCCTTATTATCAGGAAATTTAGACATAATTATTGTAGCGTGTCTCTTTACACATTTATCGGTGCGAGATAAAATGATTTGGTGTGTGCAAAGTAGGTTCTCATTAACGATTTTGCCATGTTGGTTATCCCGGCCATTAGCGATTCGCCACATATGGAATCAAAATTAGTTAGAGTTCTTAACTTCATCTTTCTTCATTTATTCTTTGACTTGAACCAACATGTCTTTGCTCCGAAGGATTTTGGGTGGTAGTGGCGTGCTAAAGACAATCCGTCCAATTTAACTCTTCGTTAATTCCCCATTTTCTTTTCTTTTTTGGTAGAATAATTACCCATTTTCCACTCTCTCTGTCCCCGATGAAGTTGAAACAATCCCCTGTGATATATTTATCGTTCATTTTAACCCTTCACTTAATAAGAAAGCGAAATTATGCAAGATGGTCATCAATGTGATGTAGCTTAATCGGTTAATTGTCCTTAATTTGCTTAGTCAATAAAGTAGAGGTTTGTGGTTCGATACTTAGCGAGTATCAATTTTTAATTTATGTTTTGAAAAGCAAGTTATAATTTCAATTTTGAAGTACCTATGTAATCTAGTTGGGCAAAAATTTTATCAGCGTATAGGTATACGATATTGTATAAGGTGTTGATGGTTTAGAGTACATGGTATTGGGTTAGTGTATTGATCATCTCCATCCCTTAAATACGATATTGTATAAGGTGTTGATGGTTTAGAGTATATGGTATTGGGTTAGTGTATTGATCATCTCCATCCGTAAAATTGAACAACAATTTCTAAACGAGGTCCCTACCGCCACATCATCAATTTTAGCAATTCATCACTTATCAATTTCTATTAATCTACATCCCTAAATTATGCTAGCAATTGCCAAGGTGGGTTCCATTTAATATTTCAAAGGAAACACTTATTATAAATTGAAAGTTGGGGATGGAGATAGAAGAAGGTGTTGTTGGTATACAGTGTAAGGTCTTGAAGGTTATGGTATAAGGGAGGAGCAAGGTGTTGATGGTTTAAAGTATATATGTTATTGATCGGTTACGGTATAAGCCTATAAGGTGTTGTTATTGTTGTAGAGTATATGGTATTGATTGGTTCGTGTATTAGGGTTTGGTTTAGGGTTTAGGTTATAGGGTTTAGGGTTATGATTCAAGTTAGAATAACATAAACCAGATCAATAGAGTAATGTTGGTAAACGAAAAAGTTAGTTAATCTACAAAGTCAGACTATTTATAAAAGCACATCCCCATTTCCCACCGTCAATTCCTAAACTTTTCCCTTAATCCGTTGGTGAAATACCTTCGATCCTTGTCGCGTGCGTGTCACCTAATCAGATATTGCCGAATTCGGAAAGTCTCTTTTGCCCATAACCAATGCTGGCGTTACCAAGGCCGAGGCAGTGGTAGGGAGTGTAATTTTCAGTAAATGTGAAGGGAGGGAAAGTAAATGTAATTACGAGTCAATCTATAAATTCGTTAATCAGTGAAGGAGAGACCGTGCTCTGAAACCCGAGTGGCACTCATCTCCTGCTACTGTTCGTTCCTACTTCTCTCAATCCCTGAAAAGAACCCTTTCTTCCATCTTCTCAATATGAAACTCCAAAAATCAACCCCATCCGCCTCTTCGTCCTCCTGTCCCATGCTTTATTTTCGGGTGCAGTGGTAATGATGAGAATGCGTATTATTTTAGATCTCAGTTCCTTTCATTATGTCATTGTTAGATCATGACTGTTAAACTAAATACTTCGTTTTATTGTTTCTCCTTTTCTCTCCATGCAGGGTCTTTGGTAGAGGCAGGGAGGGGAGCAATGACAATAAGTCACCGTCTGAATATTGCCGAAAGAATCATCATATGTTTGTTACGATTCCATAATAGGTGTTGTAGAACCCTACTTCATATGGTGATTCTTTTGGGCAATATTGACGCGTACATGTTGATCATGCTTCCAAAATGTATACAAGAGGGAAAAGTTGCCATATGTATAATAGGATAAAATAGGGAGGGAAAGTACAGCTTTTTGTTTTTTTTCAAAAATTGTACTTTTAGTGTTTGAGATCTTCTAAATCTGCGAGGGATCCTCCACTCCCAATAAAAATACTGTACTTTTAGTGTTTGAGATCTTCTAAATCTGCGATGGATCCTCCACTCCCAATAAAAATACTGTACTTTATTTGTTGACTACTGACTCCACTTTTAGAAGTCTTTACGATTGGGCCAACCGGATTTTTTGCCGGATTTCGAACTCTGCTCCTCTGTCGCCACATGCTCTAGCCATTTAATGAGTGCTCAAAATTAGTGCAAAAATACGATATAATAATTGAATAAAAAAACTAGTTCTCAAAATTATTCAACTAAAATGTTGCACATGATTTATTTAGAGTGCTTAAAATTTGCCTTCAACTGACCATTAATGAGTGCATAAATTAAACGACAACGCAAGAGGCAATAGTCTTCTTATATACCAAACGACTCAGCATAGGAGGACTTCCAGTTTCAGTTCAAGTTTCCAACACCGATCAAATATGTGGTCCCAATTGCCACTTCAGCAACTTTAACTATAACTCACTCCTCATTTTCATACCATCTACATCAATGCCATCAAGATGCAATTTTGACCTACTTAATTTTCAATGCAATTCAATATTAATTTGTGAGTGTGTTATATTAATTTGAGTTTTGTCATCTTAACGCGTTTAGTGTGTTTTTCTCTCAAGTTGTTTTTTGTCGTTGTGTTATTCGAATTATATATGAACCTTGATATTTGAATTATATATCAATCATGATAGGAATTTTATTTAATGATTATTTAATTACATACAACATATAAAGTATTATGTAAACTAGATATTCAATATATAAAGTATTATGATTGGAATTGTATATATGTGTGTGCTGCATGTATGTTGAGAATGAAAAAATAAACACAAACGAAAAAGAAAGAAAGAAAGAAAGAAAGAAAAATAAACCAAAAGGACAAAAGGTGGGCCAGTATGCAATTGTATGAAAACATTCATCAGATGCAAATTTACAATTTTTGTAATTGATCCCACATCAATGCAACTCACTATCCCACTTTCACTCCCTTGTCACATCAGCTTGCAATTCTCAAGAATTGCACCATTGGAGATGGTCTAAATAAGCAATGGGATAGAGATGGTCTAATAAGGTGTTTATGGTTTAGAGCTTAAATGTTTAAGAGATTGAAGGTTAGGGTATAAGGTAGGTAGCAAGGTATTGATGGTTTAGAGTATATATGGTATTGATTGGTTAGGGTATAAGCCTATAAGGTGTTATTGTTGTAGAGTATATGGTATTGATTGGTTCGTGTATTAGGGTTTGGCATTGCAAGAAGAATTCCTAATTTAGCAATCTTGCTAGTTTAGAAAAAATATCCTAGGTGGCATTGCAATCTTGCTAAATAATGGTGCCACCTAGGATTCCACTAAATAAGCAATGGGATGGATTGGTTCGGACATAAGGCTATAAGGTGTTATTGTTGTAGAGTATATGGTATTGATTGGTTCGGGTATTAGGGTTTAGGGTTTAGGGTTACAATAACATGTACCAAATCAGTAGATTAATTTTGGTAAACGAAAAAGTTAGTTAATCTACAAAGCCAGTCTAAAAGCACATCCCCATCTCCCGCCATCAATTCCTAAACTTTTCCTTTAATCCGATGGTGAAAGAGCTTCAATCCTAACCGCGGCGTGTCACCCAATCAGATATCGCCGTTTTCGGAAAGTCGCATTTGCCCCTAACCAGTGCTGACGTTACCAAGGCCGAGGCAGCGGTAGGAAGTGTGATTTACAGTAAATGGGAAGGGCTGGAAATGCAAAGTAATTTTATGAGCTCATTTATAAATTCTTTAATCAGAGAGGGAGAGACCATGCTCCGAAACCCGAGAGGCACTCATCTCCTGCTGTTGTTCGTTCCTCCTCCTCTCAATCCCTGAAAAGACCCCTTTCTCCCATCTTCTCAATATGATACTCTGAAAATCAACCCCATCCGCCTCTTCGTCCTCCTGTCCCATGCTTTATTTTTGGGTGCAGTGGTAATGATGAGACTGCGTATTATTTTAGATCTCAGTCCTTTCATTATGTCATTGTTAGATCATGACTGTTAAACTAAATCCTTCGTTTTATTGTTTCTTCTTTTCTCTCCATGCAGGGTCTTTGTTAGAGGCAGGGAGGGGAGCAATGACAATAAGTCGCCGTCTGAATATTGCCGAAAGAATCATCATATGTTGTTATGATTCCATAATAGGTGTTGTGGAACCCTACGTCATATGATGGTTCTTTTGTGCGATATTGACGCGCACATGTTGATCATGCTCCGAAAATATATACAAGAGGGGAAAGTTGCCATATGTATAGTATAAAAGTGGGAGGAAGGAAAGTACATTGTTTTGTTATTCAAGATTTTTACTTTTAGTGTTTGAGATCTTAATAATATATCGGTGGGGGATCTTTTACTCCATAAAAATACTGTAGTTTATTTCTTGATTACTGCCTCCATTTTTAGAAGTCTTATACGATTGGGCCAACAACATTTTTTCCGGATTTCGAACTTTGATCCTCTGTCGGCGCATGCTCTTGTCATTTCACGCCCAAATTACATTTCATAATTTTAGTAGCCAAAATTAAGTATATTTATAAACAAGTAAAAATCTGATTTAATAATTCAATAAACAAACAAGTGAGAAAAATAATTCAACTGAAATGTTGCACATGATTTATTTAGGGAGCAACCTCCATATCGAATTCAATCAAATCCATCCGAACTAAATAAAACGACATCGTAGAAGGCAGTAGTCTTCTTATAAACCAAAGAGACACATAAATAAAACGACACATAAGTAAAACGACACCGCAAACGGCAACAACGTTCTTACAAATCAAACGACGCCGCTTCAAGCTGATACT